GATGCGTGTGTTAGCTTAGTGACTGGACTCGCATGTGATGGGCTGTGGAAAATGATATGTAGACATGCCTTACTATTACGACTTGAGGATATTTCGCTGGTTCGCTGGTAGGAGTAGGAGAAAAAAACTGGAGGACGACAGACAACAGTATAATAGGCCCAGGTATAGGTGAGTAGGTTTTTGTTTCGGTGATTTATTTTATAATAGGCCCAGGTATAGGAGAGTTGGTTTTTTGTTTTGGTGATTTGAGCACTTTAATAATAGGCCCAGGTATAGGAGAGTTGTTTTTTTGTTTTGGTGATTTGAGCATTTATAATAGGCCCAGGTATAGGAGAGTTGGTTTTTTGTTTTGGTGATTTGAGCACTTTATAATAGGCCCAGGTATAGGTGAGTTGGTTTTTGTTGTGGTGGTTTGTACACTTTATAATAGGCCCAGGTATAGGTGAGTTGGTTTTTGTTTTGGTGATTTGAGCACTTTATAACAGGCCCAGGTATAGGTGAGTTGGTTTTTGTTGTGGTGGTTTGTACACTTTATAATAGGCCCAGGTATAGGTGAGTTGGTTTTTGTTGTGGTGGTTTGTACACTTTATAATAGGCCCAGGTATAGGTGAGTTGGTTTTTGTTGTGGTGGTTTGTACACTTTATAAGAGGCCCAGGTATAGGTTAGTTGGTTTTTGTTTCGGACTTTATAGTATAAAAGGCCGAGAAATAACTCAAGGTTTTAGTTTAGGTTGTTTAAGCAATGCTGTAGAGTATAAGCGACTGGATACTTGGTCTCTGTAGTCTGTGTCCAAACATATGGCCCATGTTGACATATGGTCCCTGTGTGTGTCCAAACATATGGTCTCTGTGTGTGTCCAAACATATGGTCCCTGTGTGTGTCCAAACATATGGTCTCTGCAAGACTCTGGACGATATCACTTCCAGAATAAGTCGAGATCAAAACTGAAAATAACATTTTTAACCATTAACTGTTAATGGTTATAATTGTTATTTTCAGAGTTATAGTCCACTGTATTAAAAGATTTAGCGGTCCGTACCATAGCGTGATAAATGTCATCTGACATCCCCCTCGGCGATCGTACACGTCTTAAATCATTTAGTAACAGCTCATTGGGACCTCCTCTACTAGAACCGTGTAGAAAACAAAGGGGTGTTACTGTCGACTGTAAAACATATTTCTTGGTTTTTGGGTTATTTGCTTGTCAAAAATAATACAATCACAGGTTTATGTGATTGTATGTTCATCTGTATGTGATTGATGGGAGAGGAGAGTTGGCATCATTGGAGGTTAGGGTCAATGGGATGGGATGATTATCATGTGTAATGGTGGCTGGTCGTGTGGTGACAGCAGGGGTGGACTGGACCCTCGGTCTACTGGATCAGATCCCGATGGGCACCATGGAAAAATCCGGATGAGTCCCCATGAAATATTTCGGTGGGCCCCCATGAAATATCTCGGTGGACCCCCATGAAATATCTCGGTGGGCCCCCATGAAATATCTCGGTGGGCCCCCATGAAATATCTCGGTGGGCCCCCATGAAATATCTCGGTAGGCCCAATGAAATATCTCGGTGGGCCCCCATGAAATATCTCGGTGGGCCCCCATGAAATATCTCGGTGGGCCCCCATGAAATATCTCGGTAGGCCCAATGAAATATCTCGGTGGGCCCCCATGAAATATCTCGGTGGGCCCCCATGAAATATCTCGGTGGGCCCCCATGAAATATCTCGGTGGGCCCCCATGAAATATCTTTGTGGGCCCCCATGAAATATCTCGGTGGGCCCCCATGAAAATATCTCGGTGGGCCACAGGACGGTGCTATAATAGTCCTAGTAGTGTTTTGATTTTTTAAATATGTTTTGGTATTTCTACATACTTTTACCTTTTCTACCCCTTCATACTAAGGTGTACAATCCAGGTTTTGGTGGAGATAAATATAAAATGCCAATGAAAATTTCAGCCTGGTATTTAAACCCCTTTTAAAATTTCCGGGGCCCTTTGGACACAGCCAGTCCAACCCTGGGTGACGTTATATCAGACTTCCCAGACGATCCGTGTTTATGGGTTGTGGAGTTATCAATATCAAATGTTTCCTAGATTATATTGGGCCAGATTAAGGTGTCCTATATCTGGGTTCTGGGCAAGATAATAAAATCTCGTGTACGTGTTATTATGTATATGTAGATGGAAGCCTTTCCCTAGTGGTTCTGGGACATTATAGATGAAATTGTTTGCTATATGGGTTCTGGGCCAGATGAAATTGTTTGCTAAATGGGTTCTGGGGCATTATAGATGAAATTGTTAGCTATATGGGTTCTGGGACATTATAGATGAAATTGTTTGCTATATGGGTTCTGGGACATTATAGATGAAATTGTTTGCTATATGGGTTCTGGGACATTATAGATGAAATTGTTTGCTATATGGGTTCTGTGACATTATAGATGAAATTGTTTGCTAAATGGGTTCTGGGACATTATAGATGAAATTGTTAGCTATATGGGTTCTGGGACATTATAGATGAAATTGTTTGCTATATGGGTTCTGGGACATTATAGATGAAATTGTTTGCTATATGGGTTCTGGGCCAGATGAAAATGTTTGCTAAATGGGTTCTGGGGCATTATAGATGAAATTGTTTGCTATATGGGTTCTGGGACATTATAGATGAAATTGTTTGCTATATGGGTTCTGGGACATTATAGATGAAATTGTTTGCTATATGGGTTCTGGGACATTATAGATGAAATTGTTTGCTTATATGGGTTCTGGGACATTATAGATGAAATTGTTTGCTATATGGGTTCTGGGACATTATAGATGAAATTGTTTGCTATATGGGTTCTGGGACATTATAGATGAAATTGTTAGCTATATGGGTTCTGGGACATTATAGATGAAAATGTTTGCTATATGGGTTCTGGGACATTATAGATGAAATTGTTTGCTATATGGGTTCTGGGTCAGATGAAATTGTTTGCTATATGGGTTCTGGGACATTATAGATGAAAATGTTTGCTATATGGGTTCTGGGACATTATAGATGAAATTGTTAGCTATATGGGTTCTGGGACATTATAGATGAAATTGTTAGCTATATGGGTTCTGGGACATTATAGATGAAATTGTTTGCTAAATGGGTTCTGGGACATTATAGATGAAATTGTTTGCTATATGGGTTCTGGGTCAGATGAAATTGTTTGCTATATGGGTTCTGGGACATTATAGATGAAATTGTTTGCTATATGGGTTCTGGGACATTATAGATGAAATTGTTTGCTATATGGGTTCTGGGACATTATAGATGAAAATGTTTGCTATATGGGTTCTGGGACATTATAGATGAAATTGTTAGCTATATGGGTTCTGGGACATTATAGATGAAATTGTTAGCTATATGGGTTCTGGGACATTATAGATGAAATTGTTTGCTAAATGGGTTCTGGGACATTATAGATGAAATTGTTTGCTATATGGGTTCTGGGTCAGATGAAATTGTTTGCTAAATGGGTTCTGGGACATTATAGATGAAATTGTTAGCTATATGGGTTCTGGGACATTATAGATGAAATTGTTTGCTATATGGGTTCGGGGACATTATAGATGAAATTGTTTGCTAAATGGGTTCTGGGACATTATAGATGAAATTGTTAGCTATATGGGTTCTGGGTCAGATGAAATTGTTTGCTATATGGGTTCTGGGACATTATAGATGAAATTGTTTGCTATATGGGTTCTGGGACATTATAGATGAAATTGTTAGCTATATGGGTTCTGGGACATTATAGATGAAATTGTTTGCTATATGGGTTCTGGGACATTATAGATGAAATTGTTTGCTATATGGGTTCTGGGACATTATAGATGAAATTGTTTGCTATATGGGTTCTGGGCCAGATGAAAATGTTTGCTATATGGGTTCTGGGACATTATAGATGAAATTGTTAGCTATATGGGTTCTGGGACATTATAGATGAAATTGTTAGCTATATGGGTTCTGGGACATTATAGATGAAATTGTTTGCTATATGGGTTCTGGGACATTATAGATGAAATTGTTTGCTAAATGGGTTCTGGGACATTATAGATGAAATTGTTTGCTATATGGGTTCTGGGACATTATAGATGAAATTGTTTGCTATATGGGTTCTGGGACATTATAGATGAAATTGTTTGCTATATGGGTTCTGGGACATTATAGATGAAATTGTTTGCTATATGGGTTATGGGCTAGATGAAAATGTTTGCTATATGGGTTCTGGGCCAGATGAAAAAGTTGCGGGTAGGTCTGTGAGGTGACCCGTATAACTCAAGGGCCGAGACGAATCAGAAGTGCCCATTAATCAGTGGGGAGGAATTTGTAAAGGTTATGCCCCTTGCCTGTGTAGGTCAGGGGTCATGTTGTGGTGTGGAATGTGGCCACAGTGTAAGCGGAGCGTGGTTGTCCGGGCCATTCTACTAGACTTGTCTGGAATGTGTTTGCCGATTCTCACTTGTGAGGACCAGGTGATTTGATGGCATGGCAATCAGCATGGTTTCTCGCAGTACAAGTAGACCCCCATTTACATTCCTGTGTGTGATCGCTTGGCTGGTGTTTAATCTTGACCCATTGGGTGGATTTGATCACGTGGGGCGAAGGTAAACAAGAGCAGCATGGGAATCATGAAAGATGTGATGGCAGGTAGTCGATGGTTGTCATTTCACGACTTTTCGTCAGCCTCGATTGGCCGCGTGTGAACCTTGACCTAGATATGACCCATTTCAAGTATTTGAACACCAGGCATTTGTCTATCTGTTGTACCTATCTTTCTTCAGATCTGGTGCAGGCCCCAGCTAAACTAAACTGTGTATAGTTCCCATGCCATCGCCACATGATGTAATGCTCATTTGTTATTGTATAGGCTAGGATTTTGTTTCTCCCCCCAGTCTAATGGCTGCAGTGTGTAAACTCCCGTGTTGAATAGGTTGATGATGAGTTGTTTCATCTCCCCACAGGTTAGAGTCCCTGATGTGTCTAGACAGGAGCCACATCCATGATGAGACGTTACGTAACACGCCATGGTATCAGGCCGGCTTGCCCAGGTACTTAGATTTTCTTTCATTCCTTAACCACTGAACTAAAACAGGTAACTTAAGTGCCCACGCAATCCTCTCAGTATTTAGATTACAATCAATGTTTATATTGTGTTTGCTGTGTCCAATGACAAAATAAATACTGAATTGATTTTACATTGACAATACTAACCATTTAAAGAAAAACCTAAACTGTGAGGTAGGTTTCAGTGCCACTAAAACCTGCCATGCCCCTGTCTACTGAGGTAGGTTTCAGTGTCACTAAAACCTGTCATGCCCCAGTCTACTGTTTTTATTGTAGAGTAAGATTAACCTTGAGACAACAAACAGTTGTGTAGACTGACTTGCAGTGTTCCAAAAACAGAAAGCACACAGATTATTTATCTAGCCAATCTACCAGTGGGAGCCCATCAGTTAATGGTGGACTTGTTTGTTTTGGGATATTTGGGGGCTTGTGTTGAGGGTATTCAGTATTCCATAGTTTACTGACACACACACATTTTCTATTGGAAGATTTCAGTTCAGGGTAATGATTCAGAAACATACCGCCCTTTCACAGAAACAGGATATCTTTTAATATCAAAATCATCTTATCCCTATTATCTGACCACCTCATTAATTGCTCTGTCCATCCTAGAGCTCATAACCCTAGCCTAACAATGTGTCCATCCTTGAAACTCATAACCTAAGTTTGTCTGTCCATCTTACAGCTCATAACCCTACCCTAACAATTAGTCAATTCTTGTAGCCCATTACCTAAGTTTGTCTATCCTAGAGCCCATAATCTAAGTTTGTCTGTCCATCCTACAGCTCAAAACCCTACCCTGACAGTTTATTGTATTGTTTACAGGAAGATAGCCCTAGATATCCTAACCCTACCGTGACAGTTTTTTGTATTGTTTACAGAGAGATAGCCCTGGATATCCTAACCCTACCCTGACAGTTTATTGTATTATTTACAGGAAGATAGCCCTAGATATCCTAACCCTACCCTGACAGTTTTTTGTATTGTTTACAGAGAGATAGCCCTGGATATCCTACAGCAGGAAGATGTGGGGTCCTTCATAGTCAGGGACAGCTCCACCCACCCAGGATGTTTCGCCCTGTCTGTCAGAGTCCCCAAGTATGAAAACGCTTCTGGGATTTCACACTATTTGATATTACGAACACACCGAGGGGTCAAGTTAAAGGTAGGAACAAATGATTGGTTACTCATGCCGTTTTTTTTTTTAAAATATATACCTATGGCTGTGAGGTATCAAGCTGCTTCACTGCTGGGTTGATTGGGTTATCCAATTTATAACATCCACATTTTTTTTTCTGTGGGACGATGGAAGGCCCCTTAAATATACATGTAGGCCTAGAATCAACTTTGTGTCTAAACTGTATTTTTTTTTTTAAAAAACGCAGTGTTCATTTGCTTCAATCTATTATAGTAGCAAAATGCTACATGCCACTGTGTCAAGTTGGACATGTTTTTATTTAAACTAGTCAAGAGATGATGTTCACTTTTAGCTGTGCAGTTGTAAAAGTGACCCCAGTGTCGTTAAGTAAAGTACAGGAACATTTACTTCCAGAACAGCTGACAGAAAATGTCATTTTAAAGAACACAGTTCTGTAAAGTCTCATTATTGATATTTAGTTAACTAAAGAAATACTTAGTTGCTTTATTTTTAAAATGTAATTTGAAACAAAAAAAACCCTGTTTCAGGGTCTGGACAAGGAGTGGTCCACTCTTACAGCTCTGGTCACTCACCATACAGTCATGAGAGAGATGTTGCCCTGCACACTGAGGCTACCCAAGGTCAAGGGTCAGGGTTCCCAACCCCTGCAGGAGAGGTCAGGGGAGAGCAGTGAGAATGTTGACAGTGATAACTACAACCAGCTGGCTGACGTGTCCACCCTGGTTGGTCAGCTCAAAATGTGATCATCTTTTGTTGTCCCCCCACCCCCTCCCTCCTTCAGTGTACAAGGCATAATTTTTTTTAAACATTTCTGTATGAATCATTCGTCACCCTTATTTATGTGAACTCATTTATTTATTTGTTCCCTGCAACAAGTCATTTTATTTACTATCATTTGTTTGATTTTTGAGTCAAATTCTCAACTACAATGTGTTTAGTTTTAGTTTTTAAAGATATGTTATGTTAGAAGCCCTTTGACCGTTGTATATATAAATACACCTCTTGATGCTAGTATTGGTCTGATCCTACTGCTTGTGTACTTTAATTTGCTTCTAAGGTTTTTATAAGGGGAACTGGTGCAACTATTGCAAGATTTTTATTTTTTACATTTTCCTTTTTTTTTTAATCAGACATCAATACTTGCATTTTTTTTTGTAAATGCTTTTGTGAGTAAATCCCTGAAATCAGTTGCCTAATAATTCACTTGATCACCAGTCTAAACTATGTGGTAAAACAATACGAATGCTGGTTTTGTTTTTTGTCCTTGTCAATTATTTCAAAATAAATATTTATAATTTTCTCCATCAAAAATTTTTGTACAAATTATGTAGAAAGGGAAGTAACTAATACATTTTTTAAACTTCAAGAAAAAAGCAGAGTTGTCTTTCCATTTTCATTCCAAAAATAACGTTCATCCCAAAACCATTTTACATTTTCATGATTACCTCCCATCGTACTGATTTCCTCTGAGTGCAGCAAACTTATCATTGCCTTTCAGTAGCAGCTTGATATTTTTATTACAGATCGTGTACAAACATGTATATGGTGTTTCTAGCTATGCAGAGTGTTCACAACAGACAACATATTTATTTGTGTGAATTTATCCAATTGTACAAGAAAAATGGATTGGAATTTTTTTTTAATTCATTTTTTGTTTTTTAATTTATATGCATGAAGATGTGTAACTTGTGTTATATTTCTTTTAGAGGATTGTGTTAATCAGTGATTAGATGAAATGTTGTAATCATCTTTAATATTATCAGACTCATTGTATTCACGTGAATGTTAATTTCAAGTGTTGTCATTCAGCTGTTTCAATGAGTGAAGGTTTAACACTGGTACAACAAAGTAAAGGTGAATCGATTTGTTTTAAGTTAGATGGGATTCTCAGAAACCACAGTGTAGTGAATAATTTGTTTGTGACAAAGATTGTTACTTGTTTTAACCAGTGTTTTGTAAAGAGCAATATTTAGTCTTGTTTATCAAGTGTAGATAACTTAGTGGCTTGGCATTAGAGGTGTAGATAAGTGCTTGTAGGTGGAGTTAGGTCCCCTGTTTTAATTGGTACAGAGTTGTCTGTACTTGTTTGATTTGTTGATACGGTTTTAGTGCTTTAATATGAAGCAATATTGGAGGGCAGAGAATGAGAGTTCCCCCTCTTGGTTTGGTTGTTATATGTAGTCCTATTCATTTCTTGAGGTCACTCAGTAACAATGGTTTCATTCAAGTACAACTGAATGATGTACCCAAGTCGTTTCTTCATTTAGTTTTTTTTTTTATTGACCACAATAAAGGGAAGTTCTCTTTTTATTCATAACCGCAATAAAGAAAAATTGTAACATCTTAAGTTTGTTTTTTTTTTTAAAGGAAAAACACTTTCTAGTAAATCATGCCAGTGTGCTATACTGAGGTCATTATCAATTATATAGATGAGAGTAAACAGTTAAAGCTTTATAACTTGCATAAAGATAAAGAAAAGGAACTTAATCAGACATTTTCATTGTTTTAATGAAAGTGCTGGGTGGTGTGTGTACAATGTGTGTATATATGAGATGTGTTGGACACAGGTCACTGTTTGTACAAAGTGGTCATCATTAATTTAACCTGTAGCTGTTGAGTTGTGTTAATAAATTTTTCTCCTCTCTCTTGTGTTTCTTGCTCCATTTCTTGTCTGACCAGTTATGTGGCCGACCATATATATATATATATATATATATATATATATATATATATATATATATTGATATATATAGATATATATAGATATAGATAGATATAGATATATAGATAGATATAGATATATAGATAGATATAGATATATAGATAGATATATAGATAGATATATATATATACAAATATATAGATATAGATATACAAATATATAGATATATATATATATATATAATCAGCATTTACCCGACATTGCCCACCCTAACCACAACTAACCAAAACACACACAAACATAACACAAAACCAACACAAACGAAAACACAAAAACAAACGCAAAGACAAACCCAACCACAAGAAAACACAAACACTAACTCAAACAAAAAAGCAAACAAATCCAAACACAAATCCAACCAAACAAAACCAAAACACCAAAAAAAACGCAAACATAACAAATACAAACAAACACAAAGAAAACACAAACGCAAAGAAAAAAGCAAACGAAAACACAAATGCAAAGAAAAAAAGCAAACAAACACAAAGAAAACACTAACGCTAAGATAAACTCAAATTGTCCACAGTCTAGTCCGGGGCGCCAAATCGCACCATGACGACGTGCGGCGTAACCGCCTGATTCAACTTATTAAACGACTATAGTACCCAACTTATTCAAAGTCTTTTGAACTCACGCGAACGTAGTTACCATAGCGAACACGGGAAGGCCCGGGGCGCCAAATAGCACCCTGTCGCGGTGCCGGAGGACGCGCGGATTTGATTCACTTAAAGACTATAGTACCCTTTTTTATCCATAGTCTACCGCACAGTTTAAATCGACATTATGCAGCATAGCGCTCACATGATAGCCCAGGGCGCCAAATCGAACCGTGCTGGGGCGCCGGTGGACGCGCCTGTTTCAATTTAGTGAACAAAATTATAATACTCCAAGCTTATCCGTAAATGGAAAAAAATAAACATATAGGATTTGTAGGACCTGGCTAATTAAATGTTATTGATTTTAAAAATAATTAGTAAACAGTATGTTCAGTGTATAGAATAAATAAAAGGCAGTATTAAAAATACCAACGACATTGCACTTAATCGATCCCCGCTAATTATGTAATTATTTTTTTCCTAACACCAAAACAAAGTAATAAAAAGTAAATTCTTTTTCCCCCCGATTTAATGGAGTTTTTTTAAAGGGAAGTAGCTGCGTTTTCCAAATCAAGGGACATTATGAAAACTAAAGGACAAAATGCAAATACATTTCAGACACAATTTTAGAAATTTTATAAACGTTGATACACTTTTTTTAATTTTATGTAAACTTCATAATTGAAAATTATTATTCTAAGTATATAAAATGAAAATTGTTTTTAATTTTTTAAGTCATAAATTTAGACCATGAGCACTATAATAACCTAACACTTCAATCCATAGAAGTATCCAAGACAACCATTATATAGAGCGATGGCAATAAACCACAGTTCTATTTAACTTTTAGAACCAGATGTCGTTGGTAAACACTAATTGTAGAGGCTTGTGAATTGAGTTCTTTTCATGAATGTTTTCAAAACTAAGCAGCGTTCAACATGTGTATAAATTTTTTTTTATCATCGATGAAATTGATGTAAAGGGTTTCAATATAGTGGGTACAGGCTTTATTCTGCCAACCTTGCATTCGACATTTGATTGTCAGAACAGCTGTTGCCGTGGTAACAGTCAAAGAAGCGACATTCAGAGGCGTAGCGACCCCTCCCAGGGACAAAACTTTCGATTTGCACCCCCCCCCCCCCCCTCGAACTTTTCATTTGCACCCCCCCCCCCCTCGAACTTTTCATTTGCACCCCCCCCCCTCAACTTTCGATTTCCACCACCCCTCGAACTTTTCATTTGCACCCCCCCCCCAATAACTTTCAATTTGGCGCCCCCCCCTAAGGTCGGCGCCCGGGGACATATGTCCCCCCCGCCCCCCCCCCCCTCGCTACGCCTCTGGCGACATTCGTCAAAAAAGTCGGCTTAAAGACTGCCCGTCGTTCAGACTACATTGACTAGTCTGTGTTTGTTTCCAAGCCGACAGTAGTGTGCTTTAGTGCCAATGAGGAAATGTCGATCAACATTATAGTACGAAAACAAACATAATGAATAGATATGCGATCGTAGTATACAAAGTAAATTAATAAATAAACTATATAAAGCCTGTGTCGACTTTGCCCCGTCCCTAGCTAGGCCTATTGGTTTGTCTTTAGCTTCCCCTAATTTTAATGCCCGACACACTGTAATTTTGCAAATGTATGAACCCCCCCCCCCCCCCCCCCAACTCGCTTCTACAAAGGAGAGCAATAAGTCACGGAAGAAATCTGAATGGTTGCACGTCACACTTCAGTTTTTGTAGAAGTTTTTTTTCTTAATAAACACAATACCTTGAGCGTGGTTTTATGACTCCGATAAAGGTAGCACAACCACAGATCTAGTAATTTTATAATTCACAACCAAGGCTAAGGTGTACTAAAATAACGGTTGTTTTTGTTTTGTTTTTCGATTTTTTTATTTTTTTATTATTATTTTTTTTTTGTAATTAGATTTATGGTCGGATATTCTGACAGCCACCGTCTCTAATGATACTGGCAGGTTACGGAGTGAAATAGAAATGAAAGCCGTTTCAGAAATAATTTTTAGAAAATGTCGCTGGATGTGCGATGTATTAAGGATGAGACCAGATGAAGTTACAACAAAGCCGTTGAATTTGACCCCCACTAGGGAAAAGAAAACAGGGAAGGCCAAGAAAGACGTGAAGACGCACAGCAGAACAAGAACTGACAAGAGCTGGACTATCTTGGGGGACTACTGTAAAGAAAGCTGCCAGGACCGGCATGAGTTGAAAAGGTTATCTGTGGCGGCGCTATTTTTTGTCCTGGGCACTGAAGATAAGGATTTGAGCATACTAGCTCCCCCCCCCCCCCCAATTTCGGGGCTCACGGTACTATAGTTCCCCCACATAATAGTGTTATTCTTCGGCATTTCAAAAGTTATAATTTAGAGATTATTTTGCACTCAGTAATGACTTTTTTTTTTGTTAATTGTAATGAAAAAAGACGAATGTGTATCAACACTCTTATCAAAAGAAATAAATAACATTTTCAAAATTTAAAAAGTACATGAGGTGGGAATCAGAGTTTATTCCAGGCATCTCTTCAGGGGATCTACCGCCCCCCCCCCCCCCCGAACGAAATGCAATTTATATAGAAAATACTTTTACCAGTGTCCGTCCCCCCCCCCCTAACCGAAAATATTAAGTGCCTTTCTTCCCCCCCCCCCCGGAGGTCTATTTTTGAATGTGGATAGCGGTGTGGGGGTAAATCACGCTTCCCCCCCCCCCCCCTGCTAGTATATACAGGGCACAATATGCGACCCTAAAACCTAGCCCAGACCTAACTCTCCGAGCTGTTGTTTGCGGTGCCCATTTCCCGATCAATAGTAAATCAAAGTTTGAAAGACAGACGACGGCCACGCCTCATATAGCATGTCAGACGACGGTGTTCCATTTACAACGATCAACCAAATCAATAGAAAATAATTTCATTGAGTCCAGGATATTTGTTGAGTTGACTGCGCTCTGTCGTGACCAGATTTTTTTCTTGCTTTCTTGTGCAGCTGTACTGGAGGGGGGGGGGGGAGGGGGAGGATCAGATGAATGAAATAATATAGTTACCGCACACACACACACACACAAAATCTGCACTAATTAATATTGGTGTGGTTCTCAAACTGTCACTGGTGTAATCGTTGGCTTCAGAAGGATGAGGTTAAATGATTTGTTTCAATATTTACCACCTAATGAGATTAAATGATTTTTTAATAGTTACCACCTAATGAGGATAAATTATTTCTTTCAATATTTACCACCTAATGAAGTAAAATGATTTGTTTCAATATTTACAACCGATGAGGTTAAATGTTTTGTTTCAATATTTACCACCTAATGAGGTAAAATGATTTGTTTCAATATTTACCACCTAATGAGGTAAAATGATTTGTTTCAATATTTACCATCTAATGAGGTTAAATGTTTTGTTTCAATGTTTACCACCTAATGAGGTAAAATGATTTGTTTCAATATTTACCATCTAATGAGGTTAAATGTTTTGTTTCAATATTTACCACCTAATGAGGTAAAATGATTTGTTTCAATATTTACCATCTAATGAGGTTAAATGTTTTGTTTCAATATTTACCACCTAATGAGGTAAAATGATTTGTTTCAATATTTACCATCTAATGAGGTTAAATGTTTTGTTTCAATATTTACCACCTAATGAGGTTAAATGTTTTGTTTCAATATTTACCACCTAATGAAGTTAAATGTTTTGTTTCAATATTTACCACCTAATGAAGTTAAATGTTTTGTTTCAATATTTACTACCTAATAAGGTTAAATGATTTGTTTCAATATTTACCACCTAATAAGGTTAAATGTTTTGTTTCAATATTTACCACCTAATGAGGTTAAATGTTTTGTTTCAATATTTACTACCCAATAAGGTTAAATGATTTGTTTCAATATTTACCACCTAATAAGGTTAAATGTTTTGTTTCAATATTTACCACCTAATGAGATTAAATGTTTTGTTTCAATATTTACCACCTAATGAGGTTAAATGATTTGTTTCAATATTTACCACCTAAAGAGGTTAAATGATTTGTTTCAATATTTACCACTTAATGAGGTTAAATGATTTGTTTCAATATTTAGGCCTACCATCCGAGCGAGTCTTTTTACTATAGTGACGTATAGTCTAAATTCTCACATAGGGGTCATCCATAAATGACGTCACGCTTTTTTTTGACGATTTTTACCTCCCCCCCTCCCTTCCGTCACACGTCGTCACAAAAAGCCAGGACCCCCCCCCCCCTAAAATGACGTCACACATCAGCCTACCCCCCCCCCCCCCACACACACACACACAAAATTGCAGTTGAATT